ATTATTTAGATCAAATGAATTTTATTTTTATTTCGCATTTTTAACAACGCACTAAAATACACACTAAAAATACAGATGTTTGGGTTTTCCCAATAAATGTGATTAAGATGCAATTCTTAGATCATAATATTTTTTATTAATAATTTTTATCATAACTTTTAAATTCGTGTAAAATGTTTAAAATAATTTCCTTAGTTGTCACTTTAAATGTATTTGTAATTTATCATACTAATACTTCAATTTTTTGCTAAAATAAAAGTGGTAATATAATATTTTCTGCGCATGCAAATTTATTTGATTTCCGTAAAATGATAAAAAATAACTATAATTGATTTTTTAGGAATCCTAACGTACTTAAATCATAACTCTCTTTTGGCGTTATGTCACTCTAGCTCATTCTTAAATATATACATTTTCTACTTGATATACATGGTCACAAGGAGAATGTGGGCAGGGGTAGAGTTGATGTAAAATGTCACATGGAGATTGCGATCAGGGGTAAAGTTGATATACTCGGTCACATGGAGATTGCGGGCAAGGGTAGAGTTGATGTATAATGTCACATGGAGTTTGTGGGCAGAAGTTGATTGGATGTACATAATTACATTATGTCGAAGCTATAGTTGAAAGGTTAGCAATTATTCACAATAATAGTGGATGGGTTTTGAGAGGGACTTCAGTTGAAATCAGTAAAGAATGTTCTGGGAATTGCCCTGTAATAAGAATTAATTTATTGCCGACTATGAGATAACATTTGATAAACTACTCTGTCAACTATGCAGCCACATTCAACTGTGTGTCCATCCGGTGACTCCAAATAAAACGCCCAGATAAATTAACTGAAAGACCACAAAGAAAATAAAGAATATTCTGTCCAAATGACTGCTGGTCAAGTTACACTTGGCTGGACGGTCGCGTGATGTATCCTCGGAGATTTCCAATTGGTCAAGTCCTTCCGGAAAATCTTGGGGTTTTATTTCACAAGGTGTCACTTTCGTAATCCAAATTTTTGGTTTACTTTCCGCATTTTTGTTGCACGTCTGTGAAGGAAATTTTTATAGTACGTCACTGGATACATGTAGCACATTATTTTACCTTTGTCATGTCCACAAAATATAAGTAAAATATTTTTCTTTCAACTTGATAAAAGCAAATTCCGTAAGCCATAGTGAGCAATGCAATCCTTCTGGTGGGTATTTTACGATGAAATAAGTGACACATCTACTAACAACAGCTCGGCGTTACTACTTTTTAACGTTTGTTTTGGTTTTTTTTCAATTTGCTACTTTATAACAAAATAAATACTTTAAATACTTCATCTAAAAAATCTGTAATTAAATGATAGTAAAATGTAAAGAGTAAAAGGTCTAACCCTCAAATGAATTTAAGAAGCCGTTCTATAAAAATCTGGGGCGTTCAAGAAAATCTATTTTTGGAGTACGCATTTTTATTCAGTGTTTATTTAAATGCCGTGTCTTTTAATACTTCATAATTTATTTAAAAAAATGTCGTGTCGCTTTTAAAGATGAAAATTTAATTTTTAAAAAAATATATATTAAATATGTGTGTGTAAGGCGCAACTTCTAAAGTTCGCCCCGGGTGAGATTTAGTCAAGGTACACCTCAGGTAGGTTTATTAAGTGCCCGCATTTGAAATAAAGTTTGATTCAATGTCCGCATGCCATTACGCTTGCAAAAAATGTTTGAAATAAATTTTATTTAAACTATGGTTGTTTAATGGAATCGTATTTTTAATGTACGTTGTACCACTTTAAGAAACTACAGTTCATTAGGTGCTCTATGAAGGCGTTGAACACTACATTAGAATTATCAGACAGTTCAGGGTCGTGCCTAAAAGGTGCTTTGGCGTACCGAGGGTTTTACTGTCCTCAGGGTTTTGGTAATTTTTATTACAAGCATTACATAAAGGAGTCCTTGTGTGGATGTGTAAGATAATATTGGTATTTTTCGAAGATTTTACTTTTTAACTTAAAATAGTTTCATTTCATATATTTGATTTAGTTTTTAAAAAAAGGAAATTTAAAAGCATAATTACAATGGAATGTTGTTAATATAACTAGCGTTGGTGCCGTTTTACTTTGTATACTGATTAGTGTTAGTTGAAGTTACGCATTGTTCATCTAGTGAGCCATAGCTTCAAACAGAATAAAGTTGCAAAACCTTATAACAGTTCGTAGCAGTTTATCTTCTACATTCGATTTTTTTATTATTAAATATTTAAGTTTTAAGATTATATAAATATCCTTTTCACAATTCTTTTGTTTTATAAAGTGCTAGGATTGTCCTCAAATGTAATGAAATCAGAATTTTAAGTTTCAAGAAAGTTCCAATTGAGTGTACGAATTTCAATATTTAATTTTCCATTTAACAGCCTCAGATGTACACGAAGACTTAGAATACATTGCAAGCTTCTACGTACATTGTTGCATCTAGGCCAAACTTAGTAAAGATAACTTTCACCTTGAAAAATATGGGTGAATTTTCAACTCGTAATATCTCATTCTTTTCGGGCAAATGACCCATTTTTATTTCAATAAAACACCATATGTTTGGTATGTTGCAACCGATTTTAATGGGACAACTTTACAATTAAACTGTGTTCCTTATCCATCATTGAATACTCACTGCTGTGAAATATTATTTTTCCGCCGGGTTCCCAGGTAGTAGAAATTTAAAAGGCAACATCTAATTTTCATTCGCTATGATCTTAATGGATTGAGTTTGAAAATTTGTATCGAATATTTAAATGAATGAATTGTACAGATCCCCTTTATGAGAAACAACCCGCTTGGCCCCCTTTGGGGATGGTTTCCTGTTAGGAATCCTATTTTGCTTCAACTGATAAAAGGCCACATGCTTTAGCATTGGCCAATTCTCTTTTTCATTAATAATAAAAACATTTGTTTAAAGTTCTAGATATCTTTCAATCATGCTTCTTTTTACTTGACCCAGCTCGGAAATTAACTTAAAGATTTAGTGCCCTTAATTCAGTGATTAAAAGTGTTTGCGTAAGCTGCATTTAAGCGAATTGTTTTTGACAGATCTCTAAATGTACAAGTACGATGTGAATGTTTTATAAGATGTTCCCCCCAATGCAAACCCTAGCAACTCGGGGTCTATTTGCTAGTGTATTATCAAAACGTTTAAATCCGGGTATTTTTTAAGTTGTTACTTATGCTCACCTTGTTTTCAGCCTCAAATTTGTTGACGACCCAGAGGGTGGCTAGAGTGGCGCAAAATCCTTGAAGTATGACCTCCACCAGAAGAGACGCTAGAAACGGAAGGCTGGCCAGATTTCTAGGCATGACGTCACTATGAAGAATTTTTTATATATATACATTTTTAACAATATAAAAATATTAAACTTTAACAGATTTGCCACGTTCCCAATCTAATTCTGTCGAGCCTAGTTTTATAGTCTATTCTCAAATCTTTTCGAAGTCTGTCCGGACTTTGGATTTAGTGTTTAGTCCCCTGAAGTTGAAAACTTTACCATTAGTTTGGTATCTGATGCCTATTCAAATGTCACCCTCTGAAGGCATCACGCAGCATGACGGAGACCATGATGCTGAAAAGTGTTGGTGCGAGGACTCGAACTTTTTTTGACACCATTAGACACATGGCGTGGTTGAGGTGTCTCGACACTCCTGTTCCTGTGGCCCCTAATAAATTACTTTAAATATGGGTCTAATGGTGTAGTAGTTAATTTGTCTTGATTTAGAATTGGAGTTCTTTGAACCTGATTTAGATAAATGGTCGGCAGATACGTGATTCTTTAGACTTAGGGCCCATTTGCAGACCTTGAGTTCTTTTAACTAGGCATGTCTTGGTCAAGTGTTTAGACTATTAGATTAGACCAGTATTTTAGACCATTAGAATAGACCAGTGGATTAGTCCGGTAGACCAGGATGGCCCCCGTAAAGCTAGTGTCAATCGAGTTAAGTTACGTGCGAGGGCTGTCCTAGCAAGAAGAGATCTCCAACGTGCCACTTTTCGGCCCGATTGTTAGGCGACTTTTCGGGGAGGGGTGGGGGTGCTTTGGGGAGGGAATTAATAGCGTTTGCTCGGTGACGCCACTTCCAAGTGTACATACCTATTAAACCATTAGATTAAAACAATAGGTTAGGCCAGTATTATGGATTAGATTAGTAAATAAGACCAGTAGATAAGTCATATATATTAGACCAGAAGATTAGACACGTAGATTAGACCAGTAGATTAGACCAGAAGATTAGACCTGTAGATTAGACCAGTAGATTAGACCAGTAGATTAGACCAGTAGATTAGACCAGAAGATTAGACCAGTAGATAAGACCAGTAGATTAGACCAGTAGATTAGACCAGAAGATTAGACCAGGAGATTAGACCAGTAGATTAGTACCTATAGTAGACCATTTAATTAGACCATTATCTTAGTCTAGAAAATTAGACCAGTAGATTACTCCCATACATTAGAACAGTAGATGAGACCAGTAGATTAGACCAGTAGATTATAAATTATATAAGTTCAGCAGATTAAAACAGTACATTAGACCTGTATATTAGACCAGCAGACTGCATTATATGAGTAGATTAGACCAGTAGATTAGACCAGCAGATTAGACCAGTAGATTAGACCAGCAGATTAGACCAGTAGATTAGACCAGTAGATTAGACCAGTAGATTAGATCAGTAGATTAGATCAGTGGATTATAAATTAGACCAGAATATTAGACCAGTAGATTATACATTATACCAGTAGTCTACTGAGTAGATTAGACCAGTAAATTTTAACCTATATATTTAATCAGTAGATTAGACAAGTGACGCTCGAGGATATATAAAAGGGAGAAAAAAAATTTTTTCCCTCAAAATTTTAAACGAATAAAGGTTCTTAATCTCCAAAAATCAACCGCCACAATGTCAGTGTTTAGAACAGATTACAAAAGTAGCTCAACTAAAGAGGTAAAGAATTCCTAATTAAATTCTTAATTCCTTTTCTTACCTTATGAAACCCAGGAAGATGGCTAATGAGGTAAAGATGGACACGAGGTAAGAAATTTTCTCTCCTGTATTGGCCGGTATTAGGAACACAAGTGTCACCATTATCGACGCGAGAACCATCGGAAACACGATTGTAATGACGTAGAACGCACTTCGTCGTTGTACCGTGAAGATGTACCGGGGGTAACTCACATTGTTCAAGTCCTGATATATTTCGGCTCTCGATTTCTTTAGCACCCATTCCCCAGCCGTGATGTATTGAGTTATGAGAATGGCGTTGTCAGTGTTGATGGTCACATCATTACGTCTGTGTCGAACCGGACAATCAGTCAGTAATGTAGTGTACAGCAGTCCAAAATGGCATTCCTGCGTGTCAAATGGATACATTTCAAAGTTGATTTCACACCTGAACGTTACGTAAGTTTGTGTCGCACACATGAGCACGCCGGTCGAGTTTAAAATTAGATTCTGGGGACATGATAAGAGCAGGGAATCTCTTTGTCCAACGACTATCGTGACATCCGGGACCCACAAGGAATCGGTCGCCATCAGGACTCTTTCCAAGCCTTCATAGCCTGCTGGGTCCCACTTGAGGTCATCGTGCGCCCAGCTCCACTGTAAGTAAACTATGACGGTCATCATCTGAAATTGTATGGCAATAAAATAAAATCACCTTAGATTAAGATTGTAAACGTTACGGCGTCTGGGTTTTTTTATTATGACCAGTTAAATTTTGTCATGGTCTCTTTTATATTTGTCATGAAAAAAATGCAACATTTGATAGGCAAGCAATGCATATGTTGCAATGAAGTTTGAAAACAAATGCTTTTTCTCTTAAAATAACCCTTTAATTTTTAAAAAAAATTTATATAAACTTAACTTCACAAATGATTTCGATTGATCGATAACCTTGACTACATGATTACTGAAAACTATTTATGCAAAATGGTGAATTCGCAACTCTTAGAACATTTAAGAGATAAATGTCTTCCGTCTATTGTACAACTTTGGTACCTGTCGGATGTCATCAATTTCAAGAATGTCCACCAAAAGAAAGTCGAAGGTCAAGGTGAACGGTTCATCGTGGGTGCAGTCAATCTCTGGGGGTACCTTGTGCACCACGGCGTCACGTCCCAACAGTTCTTCTCGGAGCCTCGCATAAGCTGGAGTCTTTGACGCGGTGTGCAGGTCATGCGTGACAACACTGGCGCTAATGGATAGACACAGAAGCAAGAGATTCACTCTCACAGACCCCATGGCCATCGGTAGAATTCTCCTTATCGCTCACATCTGATGTATGTCTTCCCGCTTGTGTCATGTCAATGACAAGCCAACAGGTTCATCTTTGGATCAGGACGTGTTCACAACTGATCAAATAATGCTAACCTTATCTGTCAAACAATTAAACTAAAGGTCTTTTATATACTTGTATTATTCATTTCTTGTATACAGATGGAATAATCCAATGGCTAAGAACGTGACATCATCGCATGTATGCCATTACAGGCTTTCATTAAAAATATTTGATCAGCTCTTAAAAATTGGCATTCGTTAATTGCTCTTTTGCCCTATGGAAACATTTGGTTCGGACTATGGACGGGATTCACCCGGGTCAATACGCAACATACATCCAACGTTTTATGCAAAACCTACAAAACACTATGAGTTTTGAATAAACGATATTGAAATACTTTTCAAACAACGCTTTTCCAGATAATGTACTAACAAGTATGAAGCGAATGTCCCTAAAACCAGGATTTTTACAGTCGGGACCGCCGAGAGTATCAAGTGCTGGAACACGACTATAAATACCCCCCCCCCCCAAAACCAACACAAGGACAGATAAATCGAAAATGTTGTAATTGATTAATTACACTCAAACGCACTTGCAAATATATTAAAACAAGTATGAAGCGAATGCCCCTAAAACCAGGATTTTTACAGTCGGGACCGCCGAGAGTATCAAGTGCTGGAACACGACTATAAAAACCCCCCCCCCCCAAAACCAACACAAGGACAGATAGATCGATAATGTTGTAATTGATTAATTACACTCAAACGTACTTGCAAATATATTAAGTGAGTTTAAGTGTTATTTGACACAATTGTTAAGATACAGATTATTACAAATTATCTAATCAGGGAAATTTGAGTTCTCGCAACTGCCTTGTATTACTGTTGCATGCTCCCATCGATCATGATCTTGACAAGTGGAATGAAACAGCAATTTTGGGGGGGGGGGGGGGGGGCATTTATTTGATACTAACGATTACCCGGCATGCGTTGCAATGCCACTCAAAGAAAGAAAGTGTTTGTGTTCAATTCTGTTTTTTTTAAAGTACTTGTACATAGACAGCATATTTTGTTTCTTTCGTCTGGTGCGTACACGAATACATTAGAAGGCTTTTCAACGCGTGAGTAGGCCACACACAGCTGTTCATATGACAAGCGTGGATTTTCAAACTTTAGTCTACACACTTGTAGTGATGAATCCACCCATGCAATAGCTCTGTTTGAAATTATGTTGTTTTTTTTCCTCATAGAATAAAAAAACGAATTTAAAAGGACCCCCGGCCCATAATGGCACATTGTAGAAAGCACTGTGTGGGTGGGTTGTGCATTTTATGAGTAGAGAAATTAAACAACACATAAACACAAAGTCTTTCGTATAAATCCTTTATAGAACCTAATATCGAGCTACGGGGAGGAAAATTTGACAACACATGCAAACAAGTAGCGCACTTTATAAGAATCCCGATTAACTCCACCCCTCCCCTCCCCAAGAATCGAAACCGTATATTTTTTCCACCCCTTGGGTATATTAATTTTTGAATGACCCACCTGCTTTTACACCTCAGATTTATTTTACCAGCTATTTAAGAATAAAAAAAAAGTAAATATTACGCACCAAACGCAATTGAATTAATATATTTTTAAAAATGTTCATTCAGCGCACATATCGGGAATTTCCCTTTATGTTTCCCTTGAAAAACGGGAAAACCCGATTTTTGGGGGTTGAGATTGAGAGGCTGGGCTAAAAATTTAAAGAAAAAAAATGTGTTGTCATTGGCAGCGAGACTATGTGCCAAGTTTCAGCTCGATAGGTTGACGGGAAGTGAGTCAATTAGCCGTCCGAAGATATTGCGCGTCCCCTTCCCAGCCAGCCATGAACAAAAACGAAGTTAATAACATAAGATGTTGAAAGGCACAATTTTTTTTTTGGTTACATAAAGAAAAAATTTAGTCCATTGTTCATTTCCCTTTTCATATAAAATTATGTACATGTTTTGCATTCATTATTAGCTTTTAAAATAACACACTAAAAAAGTTAACGTCTCGATTTGTTTACTGACATCAGTCAATAGCACGGTAGTCTTTGAGTTTAAAAAAAAAAACGGTGCAAGATAATGAACGATTAAAACAAAAAGATTTTTTTTTAAATTCCGGTGGTCGAATGGGCTAAAATGAGCAAACCTCAAGTTGGTGGTCTGGAGTTCAATTCCAGCCAAATGCCAGTCAAGCAAAAATATCACCCCGGGTGGATGAGACTCGTTAACCTTGGTCGGCAACTCATCTAGGAGAAGGAAACTCTGAATTCAAACCCGGAGTTGGAGTCCCGTGAGGCGCATACAATGACAATTCCTGCAACCGCACTGCAACGCTGGTCGTCTTGACGTAGAGTCATGCCACTGGATATGGTAGGCCCGGACGAGAGAGTGAGGTTGACGTCACGCAACTCTTCCTCACTTTAAACAAAAGTCACTCGCCCAAGTCATCAGTCACCGGACGACTCGATGATCCTCGTCGATCTTCGACGAACGATCAATATATATATATATATATATATATTAAACGTTATAAAGATATTTTTCTATATATAAAAAATGATTTTTAGTTCTTGTATATTGTATATATCTTAAATTTAAAAGCCCCAGCCCCACAGAGACCCCCCACCCCACAGGACCCCAATCCACACAGGGCCCCGTACCCACAGTGGAGCCTCACACCACAGGGGCCTTTATTTTAACTTGAAAGAAAAGACCCAGAGCTTCGATATTTTTCTTGAGCTGTTTTAGTATTGAACTATGTCTAACATGGAAGAGGAAACCTTTTAAAGGTTATTTGAAGAAAAAGTTTCCTGCAAGTTCTATAGAGTTCCACGTGAAAAATGTCTATGGGTCCTAAACTTTTATGGAAATTTATGTTTCTGAAGTTTCTGTAAGTCTGTTTTTTGAAGGTGCTAGAACGTTCTGAATGAATTTATAGGAGATTATACAAAACTATGCACGAAAGGCTTAGTCTACAATGCAAGATTCGACACAAATTGTTGCATCTGGGCCAAACTTAATTGTTACGTCCCGTTACAAGGTTTTTGTAAATTTTAACCTGCTTTAAGATTTTGGCTCCTTTTTTGAACCATCACTAACAAAGAATTGAAAACCAGGACACAAAGAAAAATGATACCAAAGCCAGTGATAATAACAATATGCAATTTAATTATACTATTAAATTTCTATAAATAATACAAAATCAAATTTAAAGGTTGGAAAAAATATAATAAATTACATCAAAGGGAAAAGTGCAATCCTCGAAAGATACAAATATTAATTTACACACACACACACACAAAGAATACAATCGTGAAAGTATATTACGTCTCGTAATTGTATGGAAAATACCAAAAATCTCCCATGGCTGAGAAATCTGTCGGTTTATTTATATGGAGAAAGTTGGAACCCTCCTGAAAAGAAATTCTAGAAATTGCATCACCCGATAGCATATATATAAGAATAAGCTAGAGTGACATAACGCCAAAAGGGAGATTATTTAAGTGCGTTCGGATTCCTAGAAACAATCATAGTTATTTTTTTATTATTTTACAGAAATCGAATACATTTACATGTGTAAAAATATTATATATCCGCTTTTATTTTAGCAAAAATTGAAGTATTATTATTATAAACTACAAATACATTTAAAGTCCCACGGCTTATGGTGAATAAAAACTAGGTCAACATACAGACTATAACATTGCAAACAAACCTTTCATAATCCCTTATTGAAGCCATATGTTTTTGTGCATCTTTTTTAATTTTATTGAAATAAAACGCTCCAACTTTGGTGTTTCTCAATCAATTTTAAAGGGACAATTTTTAAAAATAAAGATTGTTGGTTATCCAACTGAAATACTCACTGCTGTAAAATATGAAATAAAAGTTATTTTGGTTCCGGGGGCCCCAAAAGTAAACGTTTAAAAGGCAACACCTAGGCAAATTTCTCCAGGTTTAAATGTGATGTATTTGAAAAAATAATTTTGATAGAACCCTGTCTGAACGATGTCAAAAATTTACTCCTTACGATTGGATTCCTGTCTGGGATGCTAGTTTAATTTAAGTTGTAAATGGTCGAAGCTTTGGCATCGGTGAATACCTTTTTTTAAAAAGACATCTTTGAATAGTGGTATTTGTCCTTAAGTCATGTCCTTTTGGTTGTGAATAGTGGTATTTGTCCTTAAGTCATGTCCTTTTGGTTGTGAATAGTGGTATTTGTCCTTAAGTCATGTCCTTTTGGTTGTGAATAGTGGTATTTGTCCTTAAGTCATGTCCTTTTGGTTGTGAATAGTGGTATTTGTCCTTAAGTCATGTCCTTTTGGTTGTGAATAGTGGTATTTGTCCTTAAGTCATGTCCTTTTGGTTGTGCCCAGGTTGACCATCAAATGAGAGGGGTGGGCCACATTTAAATGCAGTCCCGAGCGGGATGGTTTAAATTGGCTGCAATTACGAGGGGGAAGGGGGGAGGTGGACCTATTCACTGACATTATATCCCTAATTTTAGGGATCGAATGAAGTGTACAACCGCTCTTATCACAGGTATTGACAATAAACAATTCTAAAAGCACAAAAATAGCTATGGATATAACATTAGACGAGCTTCTTCTAAAATTTCATGTATGTCTAGTGGTGTATAAAGATGAGTGAAACAAATAGCTGAAGCTGAATCATTGGGCCATATCCCTTCTAATTGTTACCATCAAATATATGTGATGCAATAGGTGAGTATTATCATGATTCATTCTCGTTCTTTATTTAAATGGGATATTTATAAAAATTCGAAGCATCACATTGTATAGTATATGTTATTTTTTTCTCAGCTGTCCGCCTGTCTGTCCGAATATAAACCTCAACATCAAATGACAGGACACAGTCCCATATACCATAGGCACTCGCACAGGCAGGTCTCCCCAAAATTAACACCACTTCAATGCATTCGCAGCTTCTGCGCCTGAAGATGTCCCATCCATTTCGTGCCAGAATCGATCTAATTGGCCATGTGCGCACCGACAGACAAATTCGGCCCTAAAAGGACTCTGACCCCTCTGCTCATTACAATGGTCTTAATCGACTTTCGATGGATGAACTAGCATTTGATAATGCATACAGTAAAGAGATTCCCAAATACCCACCCTAATCTATAATTAAAATGCATAATTATCTAGATTTGCCACGTCTCTCACCAAGTAGATAACTTGACGAGGCTGACAGTGACACACAATAAAAGCAACCTACAGAACTAGTGCAACCATTCTGTGACACCAAAGAGCAATCCCCAAAAGATTATTTTAATGGTGCAAAAGCAGACAAAGAAAAGTCTGTCTAATTGACGGGAGGCAAGAGATGACCCGGCTGGTGTGTTTTCAAGCTTATCGGGTACTTTGTGCTCTTCTTGTGTATTTTGGGATGTGTTGATTTCTTCCTCTGCCGAGTGTGACTCTTTCTGTGCGCTTTTTGTTACATCAAGTGTGTTGTTGTGCAGCTGAAAGTAAATGTTTATTTCATTCGATAAAGTAATAGCAAAGCAAGCAGAACTTAGCATAATTTATTTTTTCGTAAAACAAATGATATGCGAACCGCAATAAAACAATACAATATTGTTTTGTACTTTAAATATTTGAGCAGTTATAATAACGTTTTTAGGATGATTCCCCCCTCCCCTTTTTTCCGCTCTCATTTTCTCACCTCTTCCTTGAACTTGTTAAGGACGTGCAGAGTTGCCAAGATGGCCCCAAAACTTTGAACTATGACCTCTGAAAGGAGAAACGCCAAGAAAGGCAACCTTGAGAGGCTACGGGGCATGACGTCACTGAAAAAAAAACCATAAACCATGATTTAAAAAATCCTATTAGTTGTATTGTAACCCCGCCCCCAAGTTTAACAAGAAAAGATTGAGGAAGAAGATAAGCCTTAGTCTAGCCTTAGTCACAGACAGTGTGTGGAAGAAGATAAGCCTTAGTCTAGCCTTAGTCACAGACAGTGTGTGGAAGAAGATAAGCCTTAGTCTAGCCTTAGTCACAGACAGTGTGTGGAAGAAGATAAGCCTTAGTCTAGCCTTAGTCACAGACAGTGTGTGGAAGAAGATAAGCCTTAGTCTAGCCTTAGTCACAGACAGTGTGTGGAAGAAAATAAGCCTTAGTCTAGCCTTAGTCACAGACAGTGTGTGGAAGAAAATAAGCCTTAGTCTAGCCTTAGTCACAGACAGTGTGTGGAAGAAGATAAGCCTTAGTCTAGCCTTAGTCACAGACAGTGTGTGGAAGAAGATAAGCCTTAGTCTAGCCTTAGTCACAGACAGTGTGTGGAAGAAGATAAGCCATAGTCTAGCCTTAGTCACAGACGGTGTGTGGAAGAAGATAAGCCTTAGTCTAGCCTTAGTCACAGACAGTGTGTGGAAGAAGATAAGCGTTAGTCTAGCCTTATTCACATACAGTGTGTGGAAGAAGATAAGCCTTAGTCTAGCCTTAGTCACAGACAGTGTGTGGAAGAAGGTGGTCCATTAGAAACTCATCGTCACAGCTAAAACTTCACTACTCGAATTACAAATCTGTAGTTTAAGTGTAATGTCTGTGGATCTGATGTCATCAACAGTAAGTCTGTCGGTAGAAGTTCAGCATTTACAAAAGAAACGAAAATAAGTCATATATCTATAGGAATTGGCTTGAAATAAGGAGATATGTTTAAAGAGAAAAGGGGGAGGGGCTAGATTTGAATATTTTAAAACAAAATTTTCCTACCATAATATGTTACATGAAACAATGTGAGTAAAGATATACATTTATAGCGTCTTGTGCAAAGTTGTACATTTATAGCGTCTTGTGTAAAGATGTACATTTATAGCGTCGTGTGTAAAGATGTACATTTGTAGTGTCTTGTGCAAAGATGTACATTTATAGTGTCTTGTGTAAAGATGTACATTTGTAGTGTCTTGTGTAAAGATGTACATTTGTAGTGTCTTGTGTAAAGATGTACATTTATAGTGTCTTGTGCAAAGATGTACATTTATAGTGTCTTGTGCAAAGATGTACATTTGTAGTGTCTTGTGCAAAGATGTACATTTATAGTGTTTTGTGTAAAGATGTACATTTATAGTGTCTTGTGCAAAGATGTACATTTATAGCGTCTTGTGCAAAGATGTACATTTGTAGTGTCTTGTGTAAAGATGTACGCTTGTAGTGTCTTGTGTAAAGAACTTAACCTGATAATATTATGACTTAATTCAAATATAACAACAAAGTACAGGTACCCACGCTGTGCATTAGCACATTAGTGTTACTTAATAGATCAGTTAACATGTTGAAAATTATTCATAAAGGCAAACATAGGCAAAGTCACGGTTCACACACACACACACACATATATATATATATATATTTTTTACACATACTTTTTAAAAAAAAACTTACTGGAAAAAGTCAAATATCAAATTAAATATGGAAATAAAGTTAGAAAATTTATGGATATGAGTTACAATATAAAATGTTGTGTTTATTTATTAAAAAATTATTTTTTTAGATAATAAATGAAAAGCACTTGCGTCTATTATGGTCGTAGTTTAGATTTAAAAAAAATAATAACATTAACTTTTCTGAACATACATGATAATGTTATAAGTAAGGCTAATTCCTAAAAGGTTTTAATTCTTACCTAATGAAGTTCAGGAAAATGGCAGTTGAAGTGAAGACCGCCACCAGGTACGAGACCTTTTCCCCATTTTCTGGCGGCATCAAGAACACGAGAGGTATCATTGCAGACGTCAAGATCAAGGGGAAGACGACAGTGATGACGTAATAAGTCGAGCGCCGTTTGACCTTGAAGTGATAGCGAGGCCATGACTCATTGTTGAAGTCTGTGAAGAGCTCCGTGCTGAAATCCAGAATGTACCACTCGCCGGTCACAGCGTAGGAATCGCTCTTAAACTCTGCACTGGCGTTCCACGGAACCACGTCGATGTGAGGAGGATTGACGTCGTCAAAGTAGAATCCAAAATGACATTCTTGGGAATCGAAGGGATATTTATCGAAGTCGATGTCACAACGAAACGTGACGTACGTAGTTGTGCTGAGGGTGATGTTCCCGTCGGAGTGAAGTTGAGCGATATCGGGGAATTCTATTTTCTGGCCACCTTTCTCGCCGGAAAGGATGATAATGTTTGGTAACCAAATTGAGTTCGTCTCCAGCTTAATCCGATCGATGGCCAGATATTCTGATGGATTCCAGGAAAGATTTCTCTGCAGCCAACTCATTTGAATGAAAACTCTGACTGTCATTAACTTTTGAACAATAAATAGATTATTAATAGATGATTAACAGATTATTAATATTAGCTACTAAAAAATTCCACGTCTACATACGTATGTAAGAAAGCAAGTTTTATTTAGAGTATAATTTAAAAAAAAAAAAAAAATTAAAAAAAAAAAAAAACAAAAAAAATATTTTCGTAATAAACGTAATATCGAGCAATTTTGGGGGGGGGGAGCTGAAAATTTGAAAACCGATTTATTTTTTTTACGCCCCTGAACAATATTAATATTCTATTTACCCATGCGCCTCTACACCGCGGAATTATTTAGTGAAACCAGTGGCATCCTATTTCCTTCATTTTCGCCTTGAAAAACATTTTTAAAAAAATATTTTTGGAGTTGGGTTGAAAATTGGCTAGAATATTAATGTTCTTATCGGAAACAAGTCTGTGTGCCAGGTTTCAGCTTGATAGTTTGACAGGAAGTGTTGCAATGAGTCGTCTGAAACTTTTGGCACCCAGCCGGCTACAAACAAAAGCGAAGTTGATATAAAGAATTTTAAAAATAGCATGCTTTAAACATAGAGGATCTTTCAAGATATAGTTCATTTGTTTATTTGGCCTACATATGTTGTACTTAATTTAAATGTGTTCCGTTTTCAAGTAAAGAGTCGCTTCGGTAAAACTCAATGCATACGATTTCACAAAGTCAACTTATTTCGACAAAAGATGTCATAGTCAACTTATTTGGACAAAAGATTTCACAGACATCTTATTTGGACAAAAGATTTCACAGTCAACTTATTTGGTCAAAAGATTTCACAGTCAACTTATTTGGACAAAAGACATTTACAGTCAGCTTATTTGGACAAAAGATTTCACAGTCAACTTATTTGAATATTTAAAAAAATATCTAAATCAAATATCATATGTAAATAATGTTCATAAAACGACATATTCTAGCTATATGTCAAGATTTTCTTAACAATGACCCTGAATTAGTGAAGTCATTAAGGCTTTGAAAACGGGGTCTTTGATTTCATTCTATCGGAAGAAAGTGAAACAGAAAGATTTAACCCTTTCGGAGAGGGGCCTTTTCGGGGTTGATCCTTTTCGGCGTGTCTGTGCCAAAAAGACGGAGCACCTTTTACAAGCTGGGCACTCGATTTGCAAAAAAATATATACAAAATTAACTCTTTCCTTTAAATATATAAAACTATGAATATTATTGTAGGAAATTGAATATAATAATAATAATAATAAAGTTCATTTCAAAAACGAATACAATCTTTACAAATCAAAATAAAATCGTAACATTTATGCAAATGAGCTATCCCGATTTGCATAATTTATGCATGTAATTTTTTTAAAACATAGAGAAACATGACTCACTTGTATCAATTGTGTGAATTTTTTATGGATGAAGCCTGAATAAGTCCTAACATTTGTGTTTTGGAATAAATAGGCCCATGGAGGCCTTCAGTCACCTCTGGTACATGGAGGCCTTCATACACCTCTGGCACATGGAGGCCTTCATACACCTCTGGCACATGGAGGCCTTCATACACCTCTGGCACATGGAGGCCTTCATACACCTCTGGCCCACGGAGGCCTTCATACACCTCTGGCACATGGAGGCCTTCATACACCTCTGGCACATGGAGGCCTTCAGACACCTCTGGCACATGGAGGCCTTCATACACCATCGTCAACATCATCACTTTGATCGTCTTCATTACTTTCCTGGTTGTTTTCAGCAGTGTCAGTGTCAAATTCACTGCTAGAACATCAAAATCACTAAGGATAGTTTGTTCAGTGTAAATGTCAGACATTTTTGAATTTTACGATATTACTTGCAACACATAAAAGTTAAATAATTCATGACCACAACAAAAGCTTATACACAATAAAGGGAGGCCACCATTAAAATGCCACAATGTGCAGGAATATGTTAGAAGCAATCTGATTAACTGGTACGAAGACCAACCAGCCAATCTCGAGGCTTGAATTATCGGGCCGATAGTTCGGACCATCCTTCATTTTCGCTACTCCACCTTCGGCCGACAAATCGGCCCAAGCGGGTTAATTCATTCCAAGCTAGTCAATAAATAAACCGAAACTATTTCTCTCAACGATTTAAAAAAAAAAAATATGAACTAATTTCTGAAATTAATAACTAGCAGATAATCATTAATATCAATCATTACCTGATTAACATCATCAATGCCCACTACATCAATAGGTACCAATCTGTAAACCATTCGATTATATTCCTTTGGAGTGTAGACTCCGGGAGAAATTTTATGAACAATGACGTCACGGCTCATGATTTCCTGAGTGAGCCCCGCATATGTTGACAGCTTCGTAACGTTGAAGGTATCACTGCCACCATTGGCGAGACAGAATAGACCATGTACGAACACAGCAACAACTGGATATTTCATGATTGAAGGCCGCCTGCTGGCTTAAATGGAAATGTTGTTTTTACACAAAATGCGACTAAAGAATTATTAATTTTTTTTTTTTTATCTGAAATTATTTTCAACATGACTTGAATGATTTTCAGTGTCCTGTGCTTGATATCCCTTTAAACTGGTTATCATCAGTGGGTTCCATACAGTTTTGGCACAAATCACTGAGACCTACAAGGTGAAGGACGTTATATTTGCCAAGCCATTAGCTGTTTAACCTCGTCAACCGATGAAAAAGCCATTACCCTCTCACGTGCTATCAATGGGACAGAATCCGTTTATTGCTGTTTTTTTGCCATGTGGAATCGGATGTAATTTTACTATTTCGATTACATAATATTCAAAACTCGGATTCAAGTAGATCATGTCACGAATGCGTATAAGATATAACATATACTAATCCTTTTGTTCTTTGTTATTTTTAAGATACCGACTTCAGCATTGCATCAGTTTTATGAGTACATCATTCTCATCCCGTCTCCAAATAAGTGTTCCGTCTCTGACCATTAGAATTTGACTCAATTTATCCCGATGATTTGATTGCATCGGTGGATCTGCTAAACATGCGTCTGCGGGGCAGGCACGCGAGGTATTGGGGTATTTTAATGTACAATTTGTTCGTGGTTTCTAAGAGGGACTTATGAAGGTGACTGTGAATGTCATGTCATGTTTTGAACCACGCTCTGCCATTTACTGATAGTTTACACTCTCTGTAAAATAAATAGATGGTTTTCATCAATTCTACTCAAATTATTCTCTTGGTGGCCTGTTTTTTCCCCACACAGTTTTCATTTTTGTTTTTTACAAATATCGAGACTCGTGTTCTTTTAACCTTTTAATAAAATAAAATAACCGCCATGTTGTTACGTGATGGGTCGAACTCCCCTCATGTGACTTGTGTCGTCACCGACTAACTTCGCCCTCATGTGACTTGTGTCGTCACCGACTAACTTCGCCCTCTTGTGACTTGTGTCGTCACCGACTAACTTCGCCCTCATGTGACTTGTGTCGTCACCGACTAACTTCGCCCTCTTGTGACTTGTGTCGTCACCGACTAACTTCGCCCTCATGTGACTTGTGTCGTCACCGACTAACTTCGCCCTCATGTGACTTGTGTCGTCACCGACTAACTTCGCCCTCATGTGACTTGTGTCGTCACCGACTAACTTCGCCCTCATGTGACTTGTGTCGTCACCGACTAACTTCGCCCTCATGTGACTTGTGTCGTCACCGACTAACTTCGCCCTCATGTGACTTGTGTCGTCACCGACTAACTTCGCCCTCATGTGACTTGTGTCGTCACCGACTAACTTCGCCCTCATGTGACTTGTGTCGTCACCGACTAACTTCGCCCTCATGTGACTTGTGTCGTCACCGACTAACTTCGCCCTCATGTGACTTGTGTCGTCACCGACTAACTTCGCCCTCATGTGACTTGTGTCGTCACCGACTAACTTCGCCCTCATGTGACTTGTGTCGTCACCGACTAACTTCGCCCTCATGTGACTTGTGTCGTCACCGACTAACTTCGCCCTCATGTGACTTGTGTCGTCACCGACTAACTTCGCCCTC